GGGAGAGGGCAGAATTTTATCTATTCTACATAAAAATTTAAGAAGCTCTTGAAGCTTATGGGGTGGGAAAGTCTGTGCTCGAGACTGCAGCTTTTCCCAGCTGTCTCCTAAATAGTCAATTCTGAGGTTTGCAGAGACTTGCGTTGCTGAATTACACCAGGTTGTGCCAGGTAACAAAAGATAGGATCTTTTCTGTCCCCTTATGGAAGCAATCACGTTTTTCCTGCCATGTTTATTTGTATATTATTTTCCATGAACTATGCCAAAGTTCATTATTTCAACCATAGAAGGGCAAATTAGGGGGTGTTACAGAATAATAAGGTTGATGGATATTTCCTCTCCTATTTATTTCATTGTTACTTGGATTCTGCTTCCATGCAGAGGTTAATCTGAATTTGGTTTTGAAAGAAGATAAAAATCTGGGTGTTGTGTACACATTGCTCATGTCCAGGTTGCTCTTGTATCAGCAGTTCTGGATAGGTTGGGGGGGGGGAGAAAAAGAACTGAATCATTTAAGACTCTGCAAATTGGACATTTGACTAAAAGAAAAAATCTGAGATATCATTTTTATATAACACAGTTGGATTCCTAAAGCTAAGGCTATGAGCTGTTAACAACAAATTCAATCAAAACCATCTGACAGATATTTCTAAAGCAGTTCAGAAGATCTAAAATGATATCTTTCTCTGCAATTCAGTGAAGGGGTCAAGAAAACTAGTAAAATGAAAATGTGAATGGTAATAGGGAAAATTGAACTAATTTACATGAAATAACACAGTACAGATTTTCAAAAAACTTTCCACTCCCCTTCTTTCTTTTCTTCCATGACCTGAATTTTCCTTCCCACATTTGATTGCAAACACATCTGAAATACAGCTATATTTTAAATAATGACATTAGAGAAAGTCCTCACGTAACATGCTCAGTAAATGTAGAGGCCCGATTAAAGGTAACCAGTATTTTTTATGTCTGTTCTACCATGACTGTCTATTAATAAGGCATGAGAATTTTATAAAGCAAACTTCTGCTGTTACAGGTATTGGTAGAGAACTTAGAAAAAACCAAAGTAATAAAGTATATGGAAGCCATAGCAAATGAAATACAGTGTTCTCTCATTAAGTAAATCTGGGAAGGTGGATCTCAGAACTTTAGTCAGTTTTTTGCTAAGAGTCTAAAGTAAGGTACTTTAATTCATGGAAATCAAGCTTTGATTTAATATGCAACATGACTCTAGACAACGCTGTTTTGTAAGGGAAGTCACTTCTTTAAATATCTCTTGGATGGGAACTCATCTGAATCCAGTTACCTTCACTGATATGCCTGTGACTGAATAAGCCTCATCATGACCTTGCAAATTTAATTCTTCAGTAGAATAATGATGAGAATTTAAACCATCCATTTTGCTCTAACTTTTCTGTACTCTTCACCTTAAAATTACTGCTTGGCATTCAGATCCTCTTTCCCTACCTCCACAACTATTTTTGTTTCGTTTTAAAACCCAGAGATCATGATACAGAGAGAATATTATTGCAGTTTCCCCCTATGGGGACTACCATAAGGGCCTATCAATATCCCAACACTGCTGTGCTCTCTATATATGCCTTTTTCCTTACCCATCATTGACCTGACCATGTCCCTTTGCAGTTACTTAATAACTGTGAAGTCTTTGCTGAGAACATGCTGTTCACAAAATAGGTTTCTCAACCTTAAATATACAATAGAAATACCCTTTGTTTACTTTACACTAGTCATACCAGTGAACACAATTCATATTTGCATCTAAATTTCTATGCAGATGCAAAGTTAACTTAGCCTCTAGCACTGTACAGTAGGAATGGGACCAATGATTATGCACAATTATACCACTGTTAATGACCATAACTAGGAAGTGGGTGAACTTGTTTTATTTTCTATAAATCACACTGGTTCTTCTTTTACCTTTTTCTCTTCCCTGTCAAAAATCCCTGTACCATGCAGTTTAGATTCAAATGACTGCAACAGTCAAACTGTTAACTAAGTTATTCTTCCATTTTGTGATAATTGTGTCCTTTCCTAAATAATTAAGTTATCACTTAATGGAATAAACAGATTTTACTGTATTTTTAAAGTTTACTGAGGGGTCTGATCCAGATTCAATTAAATTAATAGTCATCATCTGAGAATACCTACGGTCTTGGTAACTTCGAACAAAAATTACTCCATCTAAAATTCTGCCATGGCCTTCTTAGAAATCCATAGAGAATTCAGAAAATCTAATCCATATTCAAAAGCTACCCTTGGGAATAAGCTGTGTCCATGTTTGTTTGGTCTGCACCAAATACAGGCTGGGTACTTTATCAGAATGACAACCAGCATTCTTGCACTGATAAACTGTTCTATCAAAGAAAGAAATGCCCTGCATTTTCAAAGGTCTTGCTCATTGCTTCTGTCTGTGCTAGCAGTTTGCTGTCATGAAAATGGTAGCTCATATTAGTAGTATTCATAGTCAGAATGAGGAGGA